AAGATAAAACTAATCTTTAACAACAGAAACCAGTCACTGGTTGCCAGAGGTCAGGGTGGAGTTGACTGTAAAGGGACACAAGGAACTCTGGGGGATGATACAAATGTTTTCATACCTTCATACCTTGCTTCTGGTGTGTTACATGGGTACACACATTTGTCAAGTCTTCAAACTGTATGTTCAAAATGAATGCAATAAAACTGATTTTTTTAATGAATAAAATTGATTTAAAAAAATAAAACAAGAGAGGAAATTTCTCTTCAGATATTCTGAACTTCATTTAGTTAAATCAGAAGGAAATACAGTTTATGCAGTCTTGTCTAAATGCTTACCAGGCTATATTAGTTTGGTTTCTGATTCAGTATATCTGAGTGGAACCCCAAAAGTTTTTTGTTTTAATTTGTACATCCTGGCTTGGGAGCTGTTTAGTTACATAACTTTCATTGTTTTTATTGTAGGAAGCCTGCCAATTGTTCAGTAAGAAAATCCCATTTAGAGTATACATAAGCACACGTGCAGTATTTTTGGTCAAAAAATATACCAACATGTCCTGGTCTGCGCTCTCCTGAAGGGCAGAGACAGGATCTTACTCCTGTTTCTCTTTAGAACACCTACTGTCTTATCTGGCACACGTTAAGGTGTTCATAAATATTTGTTGAATGAGGACTTTTGAATGACTATCAATTCTTCTCAGAATGGAAAATGCCATTTAGAAATGTATTCATTAATAGTGAAATATATGCTGAAGTGTATGCCATTAAATGGGAAAAAATGCAGTTCCTTCTCAGACCAAATTCATGGTTCCCTCATTGAGCATGTTTTTCCATCTGTTTAGTAGAGATATCATTCATTCACCAGTTTAACAAATGTTGTTTCTAGTCTGTACCTGGCACCATGCTAGATATAGTAGTGAACAAAAACAGATCAAGTCTTGCATTCACGGAGGTTCTGTTCAAGAAGGGAAGACTGAGAAGGAACAGATTCACATGTACAGATAAAGTGTGTTGATGGCGCTCAGTGTTAAGAACACTGAAAGAAGGAAGAAGAAAAGGGAGTATCTGGGAGTAGGCAGGAATTGCTGTTCATGCTGGGTGACCAGGGAAGGCTTCTGTTACATTCGAGCAGAAATCTAACAGAAATGAAGGGGCAAGCCATGCAAATATAAGGGAACAGAGTATTGCACGGATATGGAACCACAAGTCAGGAGCCTGGCTGGCAAGGGGCCCGCGAGCTGAAGCAAAGCAGGCAGGGGGAGGAACAGGAAGGGTGAGAGCAGAGGTAGCAGGGGGCTGGCTCAGAGACGGCCTTACAGACCCATCATGAGGACTGCATTTTGCATTAAGTTGGGGAGCCCTTGGAGTGATGCGGTCTGATTTAGGTTTTAAAAAGGATCACTTTAGCTGCTGTGTTCAGTGTAGACTATAGTAGAGCAAGCATAAAAATAGACCAACCAGCTCAGTAGAGCCTGCTTAAGGAATGCATGCATATAAGTCTGGCAAAAATGCCTCCTCATAAACATTAAGTTGTTTTTATACTTCTCCTTATTGGGCTTCAGGAATTATCTCCTTTCAGCTGTATAGCTGGGTATAGCTTCAATTTGCTACAGTAGCAACAGAAATTTTTTTCCTAAATGTAAGAAAATACACCACTTTTTGGTGTATAACAGCGTGGTTGATTACCAATGGATAATTTAAATACCTTATATTTATAGAGTCTTTGACAGTTCAAAAGCAATTTTATGTTCATTATCTCATCTAATCCTCAATTCTGTAAGACTGACAGAGTGGCTATTATTATCTTCCTATAAAGGTGAAAACTAAAATGTCATGTGTCTTATCCAGAGTCACATGTCAACTTTGTGGCAGGACCAAGAAGACCAAAAGCACAGATCATCTGTCTCCTAGCCTAAATCCAATGATTTCGTTTAAAGGGGTCTGTTACATTCAAATGGTGTCTCAAGATATTGCTGCTGGGAAGAGAGGCACTTATATTGGCAAATTTAGAATATTGTTTAAAAATCCATTAACCAGTGAGCAAGATACTATTGTCGGAGGGGATACATACAAAGATGTGTGAAGCCTGTTTCACCCTGTGAACTTAATAATTGGGGTGGTGATGCTTACAACAGTAAAATAAATAGCTGCTAGTAAGATTGTCACCTGCTCAGTTCCAGACAAATGCTACAGACAGTAGTAAATGCTTAAGTTCAAAGGAAGCACTGACTGTGATGGCCTGAGTAGTCAGAACAACCTGAAGGCAGAGTACTTGACTTCAAGAATGGGCAGGATTCGGTCAGAAAGTAACAAAGAAGAATTTCTAAACCTACCAGTAAGAGGGAGAGGAGAACACAGCATAAACAAAGGCTTGGTGTTGGGAGGTTTTGTTTTTTTGTTTTGTTTGAGACAATAATTAAAACCATCTAGTTGGAATACAAAGGTTGGTTTGAGGATGACTAGATGTTTACTGCTTTCATATAGAAAATATTCCTGAAAACTAGCCTGAGAGGTGAATGCGTGAAAGTCATACTGCAGACTTACATGTAAGTTCAAAAAGATGTTGGAGAGCTGAAAAATGCCATAGAGTTCTTATTTATACTTTGCTTTTTAAGAGTATAAGCTAGCAATTTTGTTGCTTTATTCTCTCTCTCTATTGAGCTACTTAAATCGAAAGTGTTACCTAATTAAAACTAAACATTTGTTAATTTTAGCAAACCTCATGGTTTCCAGGCACTCCTTCCAACTCTAAATATTTGTTCATTTGTTCTCTATCTTATGTTGCGGCTTAAGAGTGGTTTAAGGGTGTCAATAGATACAAGAGCAGATCGTCCAAAGGAAAAATATTTGAAGGTTCTATAATGAGAATTGGATTGGGGAAATAAGACCAGCCTAAGTAGAGCCTAACATTTCTTTCAGTTCAGCAAACATTTATCAAATGCCTACTGTGGCTGTCTATTGTGCCAGTATTATTGGGGTAACTTTGGAAGCACAACCCTGTTCTTAAATTCACATTTGGGTTGGCCGGACAGATGAGGGAATATTTTACTTCCTCCTCAAGGAAAGAAATGATGTAGTGAAAGTGGTATATTTAATATGATGTTGGTATAAGATTTATATTGAAATTGAGGGAAACTGGAGGCAGAGACAATTTCGTTGGTGAAAGAGCTTCCACCTGCCTAGGCCTACTAACCTGTATTCAGAGAGCCTCCCTCAAGGAAGTACATTGTGTGTCTTGCCTGAAAGATGTGCTGGGCAGACATGTTCTGTGGCTAGCCCCTGATCACTGCAACAGAAACATCAACAGAAAATAACTAGGTGCATATGGTTTCCACTCATTTATTCTCCCATCCTTTCAACAAATACTTGCTAAGCACTTACTGTGTGCCTGGCACTCATCTGGGGGCTGGGGATGTTGTAGTCAATAGAAAAGACAAAGTCCTGCCTTCATGAAGTTTACATTCTAGTGTCAGACAGGCAATGTCAGAAGAGCACATGTCTTAGTAAGTGGCCTGGCACTTCACCTGTTACGTGGTAAGTAGGGTTCAGTAAGTGTTGGTTACCGAGAATGAACTTAAAATTTGAATTAAGTACCTACTCTTGGCAAGTACTTTGTTGGGGTGTACTTTTGCAGGGTGGAGAGTCAGAGTGAGATTAACTCACACTTTTTTTTACTGTTGCATAAAAAATTATGAGTCTCCATAAACACCGAGAAAGGAAGGGAATAGTGGTTACCAAAGGGGAAGGGCCGGGCAGGTAGGTGGGGAGGGAGAAGGGGATTCGAAGGATACTACACATCACAGTCACAACATAGGTAGGTCACGGGGAAGTCAGTACAGCACGGGGAATACAATTAATGACTCTAACATTCTTTATTAAGGTATCATTGATATACAGTCTTATTCTGTAACATCTTACTACACTGATAGTGAACACAGTAGAGGGGGTGAGGATTTGGTAATATGGGTGAATGTTGAACCACTATTTTGTGTATGTGAAACCATCATAAGATTGTTTATCAATGATACTTTCATAAAAAATAATTCTAAAAATTATGAGTCTTTTGTTCACTTTGGGGGTCATTAGGGCTATCTGCTGTATGAAATATGACAAGTTGTCTGTTCCAGACCACTTTTGCCGTTGAAGATGAGACATTGAGCAGGTGCCGCTCTGTACCATCAACAGTGGTGTGCTCTTGTCTTGCTCAGAGGCTTTTTGTGCGCTCCCTGAATTCCTGAAATGGCTCATTGTCTTTGCTGACTATGCTGCACAGAGACCCTTTGTGTCATTATTTAGCAACTGACTGCCTTGGCAAGAACTATGTCAATTCTTTTGTTAACTTTAACAGCGGTCAAAAAGGACATATGGGAATTGAAGGTAAATGAAACAAAGACTGATAAGTGCACACACACCCATCTTTTAGATCAGTTTCTGAGTATGATCTGAAGTAACATTTGTTACATGCATCAAGAAATGAGCAGTACTGCATTTGTTTTCTCATTGTCAACCTACGAGTGATGTTTTTCCTTGTTGGCTTCCCTTTGGCCTCGCTGCTTCTTAGATGGGAGGAGGAGTTTCACATTGAGAGCAAAGCTAAAGCTTTTTGTGCAAATTTTTTACAAGAAGATTACATTTTCTTATTTACCTACGTTTCCTGAAAGCCTGGGGATAGGATGATGGGTGTATTTACTTTTGTTGGAAGTCAAGATTTTATTTTACTTTCCCTTGAAATAAACCCTTGCTTCTATAGAAACCAGAAATAGTTGGAAGTGAAGTTAGGACCTTACATGTTGCCTCCAGATAAAATGCTTTGCATTAAATTTGTGATTAGAATTCCGGTTGAACAGATGATGTCATTTCTGCAATATGGTATGGGTGTTTGGGTGCATGTGTGTGTGTGTGTGTGTGTGTGCGCTCGTGCATGCACACAAGCACGCATGCTTTTTTTTTGGAACTAGCGCTATAGATATGGAATTAGTTACGTGGACTTTTCTGGTCCCTTTTTAGATGTGAAGCCTTCCAATATGCTAGTAAACACGAGAGGACAGGTCAAGCTGTGTGACTTTGGAGTTAGCACGCAGGTAGGTCTCTTTTTTCCTCCCAGTCTGCTCTCCTTTCTGAAACCTCCACTTTTTGTTTTCAGTCCACTCTTTGGAATGAAAAACCACCTAGCTGCCCGACAAACAGAACTCCGCATCTTCTTTTCGTCTGGGAGCATGTTATTCATTTTTAATCTCTGAGCGAGTTTGCTTCATCAGAATATGATTGTTCATTGTTTAGTGACAGTAAAAACTGCTGATATTGTAATTACTACTTACGAATAGCGAACTTCATTGATATGCAGCTTTGATATGAAAGCGTTTTGGCCAGACAAAAGGGAGGGCAGAGTGGGAGCTGTGCCTGGGGAGCCCAACTGGCCCACAATAAAAATTAATATTGGGAGCAACAATGGTGGAGGGCCATTACAATGTGCAGCACAAATTTTAATTAATTTCCATTTTGGGCCTCCCCTGAGAACCCCGGTGATAGTGACCCATGAGCATGCTGTGATGTTGATTTGAATTTCAGCCACCTTTACTCCCAGCCAAACACGAGGACCAAAGCGGAGGTCATCATTGTATTATGAGTTGTCAAAGTCTGTTATCCCTCCAGCGAATTCAGTGTTCGTTTCATTCTAGTAATGCATGGGGCTTCATTCACATCTTGAACCATCTGACTAAAAAATGAGTGTGTTCAAATTCTACTTCAAATTGACTTTTTATATCAGGCGGGTTTGGGGTACTAACGCGTTAAGCATCCTGCTTAAGTGAATTGTTTAAGGTTATCTGCTATAAACTGTAATGCTGTGCTTGTTTAAATTGGAAATCACATTCAAAAGAAAAGAGATTTAATCATTTTTAATGCCTTTGTAGATAAATTTGTTCCTTTTTACATAATTTTTAGTTGATTTATAGAAATGATGATTGTAGGTTAAATGAGGAATAATTGCCCATTTTATTTCCACATTATCTTTATATTGTTCTAACAGACTGTTTTGTCTCATAGCTGGTGAATTCTATAGCCAAGACGTATGTTGGAACAAATGCTTATATGGCAGTAAGTAAACTTATGCAAAAATAACATTTAAAACCAACATCTTTATCTTTATGTACTTGGTAATGTATAATTCTTGAATTAATTCCACAGCTTTAGCCTAACAGATCATAAATTATAAAGTCAATTCAGTCATGATCTGATTTTTAAATCTGTCTAAAAGACATTAAATTTATACCCGAGCTACTAACTTATCTGACTCTGTTGACTTAACTGATTGGCTCAAGTATAAAATCGCTGAGTTTTGAAGTTTAATCTTACAGAAAAATTGCACCTTATAGCATATTGGCTACTTTGCCACATTGCTTATTTAATTAACCCTCAACTACACCAAAATGTCAGTCAATAAGACTGGTTGTTTCTTCCAAGAATACAAACATGCTTTGTCAACAGATTAAAATTACATTATTGATGTGACCAACACTTACTTACGGATTTCTGAATATAAGGGTTTAACAGGCCGTTCTCTTTAGAACTTGTACAGCCGTATTGTCATTTACTTGTTGGGTTCATGCCTATTATAAGATAACGTACTTAGTTCCACTGAAATAAATTTACCAGGAATGAAAAGTAGAAGCATGGAAGTGTTTCAAAAACAATGTAGACTTGGCCTTGACCTTTTTCTTTTTTCTTCCTTTAAGTAAGGCAAGTTATTTATGTTGAAAATGCTTTTGTTTATTGGTTTCCACAATCCCTTTTAAGAGTATGGGGTAGGGGAAGACAGGCAGGAAGCTTATCTGGTATCATTTTGAAGCTAAGTTTTATTTTAACTTTGGTTAAGGTTACTTTTTTTAATGAGGGTTCTAGATGTATTCAGGTAGCCCATTTCACTTCCACTAATCTTTATAGGAAGTTAAATGATATTAGCACGGATAGACTCTTGGATCTTATTCTCATTATTTTTGTTCATATATTATCTTGATAAAAAGATACTAATATGGATCTTATTCTCAGAACAGTACAAAGCATTTTTTTAATTGAAGTATACCAGAATAATTTTTGTCTTGCATTGTTTTTAAAGAAAATTCATTCTTTCTCATTTTTCTAGGAAGTATGGGGAAAAAAATTAATCTCCAAAGTCATCATATGTTTTTTTATAAAACTTAATCACCCTGTTGGTTCTACCAAATTAGCTGAGATTGGTGAGCCACCTTTATAATTAACAAAACCCTGCTAAATATCACAGTTTCAGTCTTTGAAAGAGTATGGAACACAGTGATTAAAAAAAAAAAATCTTCTCAACTACCCATCATGTTCTTAGTAGCTAGTAGCTTTACATTGCTCTAATAATTAAATTGCATTATGTTTGAATGTACGAATCCAGATTACAGTTTTCTTTCCCAGATGTACATGAAAGAAATTACTTTTGCTTGTTTTTGTTTATGGATGAATATGATGCTTCCGTCTGTTAATTGAATATATGAGGATAAAATTATGAAACGTTAGCTCAGATTGGCAAAGCTAAAATTGCTTTCTTTCCTGGGTGCGTGAGTCCTAGTCATCAACTTCATAGTTCAAGCTGTAAAAAGCACAAGATACCTAAGAAGCAAAGAGTGATAGTCTGATAGTGAGCTTCTCTCAACTCAGCAGGTTCTCATTGGCCACATACTTACTGACTGGTATGAGATCAAAGGCTGGGAGTGGAGGAAGATGGAAATAATATTTATTGTTACAGGTTTTTAATCCCTGCCTGACATACCTGGTATTGCATTATAGTATCACAACCAGGGTGAACTGGGTGAAGAGTACACAAAACTTCCCTGTATATATTTTTTTCAACCTTCTGTGAATCCAGAAGTATTTCACAATAAAGAATTTTGTAAGAAAAATAAGTGTTATTGGAATGTGGCCACACCCATTTATTTACATATTATCTGTGACTGCTTTCGCACTACAGTGGCAGAGTGGAGTAGTTGTGACAATTGCAGCAGAGACCAGATGGACCCACAAAGGGAAAAATATTTCCTGTCTGGCCCTTTACAGAAGAAGTTTGGCAGCCTCTGGTCTATGCCAGAGAAAGCTGTATCTGAAACTGAGTACCTTCAATTAATCAACTATTATTTACTGAGCACCTTCCAGGCTGTTAGCCAGGCACAGTGGAACCCCTCTGTTTGTTATATATGGCCACGTTATGTGTGCTCTAATAAAGACTTAATATGTACCAAACATACATTTAGAGATTAAAAAGGCGTACAAATGTGTATTAATTTGGTGATTCAAGAAGTATGTAAAAAGGGCATTGATAAAAGAGATCACAATGAAAGGATGGGCAAAGACTGAGAAGGTGATGTGACATGGTGGGGGTGGGGAGATGGGGTAGAGGACAAATAATAAATTGTGGAATAGAGGTCATTTGATGTCATATCCTCAGTTTACACCCATTCCTATCACTTAATGGTAACAATAACAGTAAAAACTAACAGTCAGCACCATGTGGCAGTCACCCTACATATATTAACACTTCACCTCCTTACAACAATCCTACAATGTAGGTAATATTATTCTAGTTTTCCAGATGAAGAAACTGAGAAGTTAAATGACTTACCCAAGTTCATACAGCTAATAAGAAGCAGAGTCAGGATTCAGACCTTCATATTCAGCCTCCAGAGACCAAACTCTTAACTGGCGGTGCTTCTCATCATGTCCAGATTATGTGTCTCTTCCAACCTAGATTTGATCTTCAAGGGGCAGGATTATTCTGTTCATTCCTTGTATCCAGTCCTTCATAGTCCTACTAAATGAATGGATTAGTATACAAAAGCAGCATTCCAAAAATGACTTAATCATAGGCAGCATTTAACTTTTCATACTAAGAATATCTCACTTGCATTATAAGAAATGGAAGTCCCCAAATTACTCAAATACAGTCAGCTACTCAAATGTTGAAAAGACATAGCCCTGCATATGCAGACAGTCTCACTTCATTCTCCTATAATCTGAAGTACAAGGTACAAGAAGATTATAATTAGGAAAAAGACAGGTTTTTCTAAGATCCTGTCATAAAAAAACAAAACAAAAAAGATAAGACTAACTTACAGGCATGTTAAGCGGTGACGCTTTAGGAGAGTTGGAAAGTCATCTGGTCCAGCCTCCTCACTAACCCACGAGTACACTGAGGCCCAGAAAGTGCAGTGGTGTGTCCAGGGAGACATTACATGGGCAAATAATGAGGGTCCGTAGACATTTGAATCCAAAGCAAGAACAATTTTCAAGTACATTTTTTAAAATTAAAGTATCATTGATATACAATCTTATGAAGGTTTCACATGAGCAACATTGTGGTTTCCACATTCACCCATATTATCAAGTCCTCACCTTGCCCCCATTGCAGTCACTGTCCATCAGCATATTGAGATGCTATAGAGTCATTACTTGTCTTCTCCATGATGTACTGCCTTCCCTGTGACCCACCTATTTTGTGATTGCTAATTATAGCACCCCTTAGTCCCCATTTTCAACTACCTTTTAAAAGGATCCCACCCAGAAATATTACAAAAGGGGTTCAGCAGCCTTTGGGGGCTTATATTAAATTAAACCATTTCTCAGAAATTCTAATTACCAGAAATTTAAAGACAGATATCCCTAAAACCTTAACCCACAACTCATTGTGATTTGCTTAATATAAAGTTTTAACCAAATATAAAAGTTCAGCATTATTGTTAATGAATAACTGAAGTTAACTGAAGTTTTGAAATTAAAAAAAAGTCTTACGCAAATACTTGTCCTTTGGAATCAGTAAGCCAATCTAAATGACTATTCTTAACTACTGAACATTTTTTTTCTACTCGGACTATTCCTATCCTTGTAAATTTTCTTTACCTAGAATAAAACCTATACAGATGACTTGATCCAACTCAGTTGGCCTTGCTCGCGCAGTGACGGTAATGACAGTGGTAAGGACTGAAAGGAGGCCAACCTTTATTGAGCGTTCCCGTGTGATGTGTACTGGGGCAAGCACACTCCATGGATTCATTTAATTTTCACACAACCTTGGGGCCTATATAGTATTAGTATTATCTTCATTTTACAGATAAGGAAACCAAAGGTGAGGTAACTTTAACCCAGGGTGTCAGAGTTGGCCAACTTGTGAGAGTCAAGATATATATAACTAGGATGCCAGTTTCTAGTTTCTGGTAATGGAAGGTTAGGTTTATCGGGACCAGCTCTTCTGCTGAAAAATGCTAGTTAAAATACTTTTAAAACCATCTCAAATACACTGAAGAGCTAAAAAGACAATGGGGGATTCCCAGGACAATTTTCAGATGGACAACAGAGGGGAAAGCAGAACGTCAGAGCACCAAAGCTACTTATTCCTGAGGGCATTTGCCTGTGCCACAGCTGTGAACGGTTTGGGGGGTGCCCCCCGGGCAGAGGGTCTCAGAGGAGATCTTCCCATATCCTGCTGGAAGCCTGAAGGGCTCGTCCTCAGTGTAAGAGCAAAGCTACTGCTGTTCCTTCTCACCCATACCAGAAAATAGAAGAGAAGCCTTCTCGGAGCCAAGTAAAGAAGCAGGAGAAAAAGGCAAAGCAGTGGCCATAGACCGACTCTGCACAGATTTGCACCCTGGGTATTTGTACACATGATCTGAGTTGGAAGAGGAGCCTCATGCTGAGAACTTGGTTTGAAATGGGCACATCCACCTTAGGCCTCAGAGAACCTCTCCACAGATTTTTTTCAAGAGCAAAACCCAGAAAGTCAAAGAAAACCAGGCACACAAGGAAATAAAGCAACATGAGAAAGAAAAACAGGAATACACAGGCATACAGACTTCAGACCACAAATTTTATAAGTGACATAGTAGATTGGAGAAAGTCTCAAACAAAACAACTAGGTAAAAATTAAAAATCACTTTTAGGTAGCATATTGGACATAGCAGAAGAGAGAATCAGTGAACTAGAAGATAGAGCAGTCTGACTCCAGACCCCTTATTTAACCAGTATGCTCTAATACCCAAAGCAGGATCTTGCCAACTTAAAAAAAAAAAAAATCCCCATCATTTGTGGCATATATTTTGAGTACATACTAACCTAAAGTATTTGTACATACTTTATGAATTTTCTGAGTAGCCTAACCCTGAGCAGAAATTGTTTATCAGAAGAGATGAGGGATATATGTCAGTATCTTCCTGCTTTTGACAAGTAAACCCTGGGGTATTTATTGTTTGTAAATAGAGACTATTCTAGAATGAGTTAACAAAATTTGGGTCCTGGGTAAATGCCAAGTCACAGAAGATTGCTGGAAAGAGTGAATCATTGTAGTCAGCTTGTAGTCACTGTTCTTTAAGATCCTTGATAAACTCTGATTTTTATATCATCACCACTCCTTATTGTACTTATGTAAAAACAGACCAGGGGTTTTCCCCCCCTACACTTAAACCTCAGTGCAGAAGTGCTTCAGACAAGAATCATGTTTTCCCTATTAGCTTTCCACACTGGTGATATCTGTCATGTGAGAAAATAACCCAGCTTTTAATTGTAAAATGTCCATCACAGATCTTCTGTCAAAGGTGTGGTACCTGGTGGTTGGATTGCTTTGTTTTAGAGGGGAGAAGACAGGGCAGGCCACCGTAGCTTCCAGTGTGAGAACAGATTTGAATTGTGCAGCCTCAGGCCATCAAGTCCTGGCTTCATAAATTCAGAATGTCTTGGAGCCTATCTTGTGCCTGTGTCAGTTTCTGGGGCCTGGGCTCATTTCCCAGTCCCTGTCTACTATAGCCATTCTTTACGATGGTACCTCAGAGCTGGCTATCTGTTTTTTGGTCAGCAGTTGTGTTTAAGCACTGCATCACGAAAGTAATTTCATTTTGTTAGCTTATTGCAAGAATAATTTCTCCAATGAGAGATTGTCAGAATCTTGGCCTTCAAGAGTTCTCTTATTTGCCATCTGACGTCTGTGACCATTATCATTTTTCTGTTTTTTCTTTTTTAACTTAATCTTTCTATGCTTTATTTTCAGCTGACAGTTTGCATTTGTTTTGGTAGTTCACTGGGCAAATGTTACAGAAAGAATGTATTTAATCTTATTGTTGGTCCTGCCAAAATATTTTGTATGTGGGTTCACTTTTGCTTGTTTGTTTCTTTGCTACTCTGGATGACATAGTATGTATTAACTGTCAGCGACTGGAATGAAGAAAGAGAGAGCAAGGAAGAAGAGACGGGGAAAGGCAACACTTGGTTATTTCTTTAACAATTCTAGAGGATTTTAGCATTTTCAGGTTTGCTAGAAGTTCTTGATGGACATGAATAGCAATAATATGTGAGGAAGTTATATTAGTAGAACACTCCAGGGAACTGAATTATTAGTTCATGCTTAAAACCGTATGTGCACTAAATGTGTATCACATCCCTTTAGTCTGCACGCAGCACACACCAGTTGTGTGCCAGACATTTTACTAGGTCTGAGGTGAATAAGACTCTTTGATTCTTAGGAGAAGTACACTAGCAAACAGATGATTACAACACTGTGCAATAAATTAATATTAAAGATAGAACCAACATTGTAAGAAAGTACAGAGATAGGAATTCATACTTCTGCCTGAGGAGTAGGGGGTAGTTTCACCAAAAAAAAAAAAAAAGGTGGCCCTTCATCAGAGCCTATAAAAGAAAAGTTCACCAAGCAGAGAAAAGGAAGATAGCCCATTACCTCAGCAGGGAACATGGAAATGTTTGGTGACTAGAGCTGAGTGTACCGAAGAGTCACCCAGAGAAATTATTTTTTCAAATGCAGATCCCCAGGGCCACCCCCCGAGGTTCTGTTTCAGGAGGTTCATTTGGAATGAGCACCTCTAGCGGTTCTTTGATGGCCAGTCCAGGACTGCATTTTAAGAAATACTGACCAGGTCACACTAATGCTTGGCTGTTACAACTGCTAGTTCTGAGGGCAGTTTGACACACTGGAAAGAACCTTCATTTTGCAGAAAGACATACCTGGGTTTTGAATATGTTTAATATACAAAGCCGCACATCTTACGTTTGTAAAATAAGGTCATAATATCACACTTAGCAAGGTGGTTATGAAGTGTGGGGGATGCAAAGGTCTAGCCCAGTGTCTGGTACATACGAGGTGGTTATTAAATGATAGCTATTATCTCCTTAGATAGTGGGTGCAAACTAAACCTCTCTGTGCCTCCTTTTTCCTCTTCTGTTAAAAGGGTTTCCTAATAGTACCAATCTGATACGAGCGTTTGTGAATCTGAAATGAGATATGCATGAAAAGCACTTAATGCCAGGCACATGGAAATCATTCAGTAAATGAACACGATGATGGTCTTGAGGGGGTGGGGAGAGTCATCGTCGTGGAGCCCCGCAACGGGCCCGTTCCGGAAGAAGACATCCTAGTACCTGTTGGAGTATCTAGACTTAGATAACAAGTTCATTCATGTACGAACAAGAAACCTCAGAAATGATGGTATGGGGATTAGAACACATAGAAGGACAAGTATTAGGGGTTTGGAATGACCATGTCCATGTCCACTAGCAGCTGGGAGAAATGGTCCCATGACGCTTGGCCTTTGGGAAGAATTATTCTTGGTAGGAAGGGTTTTACAAATACAGAAATAATGGAAGGGAAATAAGACAATCTATCTATCCTGCTACCTCAGGATAGGACTTTATGTAATTTTATGGGAAGTGGTCCCAGGAGAAGGCAGTAGGTACACTGAGGTAACCTGGTAGGTGGGAGCAAGAAGTCGGTTACAAAGTTCTGGGCCCCAGCTAAGCCAGCTCCCCACGATGTGGGACTGTGCCAACTTACCTGAGGGCATCTGGCCCACATCTTCCACACCCCTGGTCAATCCCCTGCTGGCGAGTGGTAGATGCCCACTTCCTCCATATGCCCACTTTTCTAGACTGACCCTGACTCCACATACTCTTAAGAGCTCCCATGGGAGCTCCTGAAGGGTGATGGCTGTGGTAGCTTTCAGAACTCCAGGGATGATGGTTCAAAGAATAGAATGTCCTAGAGCCAAGAGATGTGGGTTATCCCAGCCTGGCTGCAACTACTCAATAACCTTGAGCAACCATTCCACCTTTGTGAGAACTCGGTTTTTTCCGTTGATATATTCCTGTGTTCATTCAAAAGACTTCTGTTAAGTACCCTACTGATACCAAATCCTGAAGGGACACAGAGACTAGGCAGCACCCACTTGAGTATGAGATGACTTCCGTTGAAACAGGATGTTCCTGTAGTGGCTTTCTAGACCAGGTATTTGCTACACGTCTTGAATGGAGGACTAAGAGTCACAAAATGGACCTTTCAAACTATTCCTCGGTTCATATCAAAAGAAATTCTGATAAATGGAATAAAACATTGAACAAGAGGTCAATCTGGACAAAGGAAATATAAATGTCCTTTACACTAATTTTAATCTTTCAGCTTTCCTACAAGTGTGAAATTCTTTCCAAATAAAAAGTTAAAAAATTAAAAATAAAAGAATCCCTAAGTGATCCAGACCTATCTCTCAGAGTGCAAATAAGTGATAATACTATATAATGTGTAATTTCTCATTCTACAACTTTTGGAGGGAGAGGATCTGAGTTCAAGTCTCAGCTCATTTACTAGTTTAGGACCTTGCATAAATTATTTCCCTTGTTTGAACCTCCATTTTTTCCATCTGTAAAGTAGAGGTAATAAAATTTTCCTCACAGGGACTTTGTGAGGATTCAGTGAGATTTATATATATATAACTTTTATAATTCCTATATATTATCTACATAATATACACTCACACACACATAAAACATTGTTTTCTCTTCATCAAGTGCTATGCACATGTTGATGGCTCCCTGCCTTAGTTGAGCCCAGGGTAGTGTATGTTTCCCGGAGTAGCTTACAGCAACTCATGAGCTCCCTTCTGTTTTCTTACAGCCTGAAAGAATTTCAGGGGAGCAATATGGAATCCATTCTGATGTCTGGAGCTTAGGAATCTCTTTCATGGAGGTATGTTATCATTTGCAAATGAATGTTCCTATGTATATTGTTACTGATATGTTCTGACAGGAAGAATGGAGATCTCGAAAAAAAAAATTTCAATCTCCAGTGTGTTACGAAGACCAGTTAAATCCAAATCTTTAAGAATCTGCATTATTAACATGCTCCCTGGGTGATGCTGATGCACACTAAATCTGAAGAACCTGTGTGCTAAAAGAGAGAGTCTAAAAAAATTCTGTGTGCTGTCAGTCTTGTTGGAATGCATGTAACTTCCAAAGGTGATTACTTTAAAGAGTACAGCACAGCTCATTTGGATGTATAAGTTCTGTATGTTTATTTGGAGAGAAAAGCCATCTTGTTTCAATATAGTCACATTACAAGTTGGAGGGCGGGGTGTGAAATGATTTGGGAAAGAATAAGGGATATGTATTTGGCACAGCTTTAATGTCTTTACTCTTCATAGCTGTATTTAGAATGGACTTTATCTTAGTGTGCTACATGTAGCCCCACCAGAACTCTGTGCTAAGGTTTCCGTGCAAATGACCATTAACTATAAGGAAATGCATACAGTTTATATTAGAAGGGCATCTGGCTCAGCATTACAGTAGCGTAGAATCTGGATACTCACCAGTACTTCAAGAATTGTTTCTCACATCGATTGGTTCAGATAAAGGAAGACTTTTTAAAAACTAGAAAGGACTCCTTAAATAAGATCATGAATAACAGTCACAATGTTACCACCTTTTTTGGGTCATACACTTTTTCTGTAATCTTCATCCCACATGAATGCAGTTGAATTTGTAAGCAACTATACCTATATCTGAAGACTATAGAAAGAAAGCAAAAATAAAGTATTCAGTGTTTATTAAGCCATATTCTGCTGTCTGTTCATAAAAGGAACTGTGAGAGGAAATACAATATGTACGCATCAGTTGAAGGTTAGCAGTAGTGATGGGCATGCTCAGAACTGAGTCTCCCAACAGAACCTTGAAGGGCTTGTTCAGGTAATCTGTCTCGGTGGATACTTGTGTAACTCGTGGGACTCAGGTCTTGCTGTTGTGTGATTTTCCTTGGCATACTTCAAATCACTGTCATTTGAATGTATAATAAATGACCAGATACAGTACAGAACATTTGAGAAGTTACTTGGTGTGGAGATAATAATCCTAGAGTGGGAATGAAAGATAGATTGCAGTTCCAACTTTGCTACTAATTTTCTAGGCGACACTGTGCAAGCCACTGTCCCTCATGGGGCCTCAGTTTCTTCATCTGTAAAATACTGATCTCTGAGTCTCTTTCCAGACTAATATTCTGTGACTCTCAGCGGTCTGCTTTTGTCTCTCCTTGACTTTCTGCAACAATGTCAGAGTTAAGTGACTTAGACAGTAATATACACTAACATGGCACAATATGCAGAGACAGAGCAATACTGTAAGAGAGCGTAACTAATAGACTTAATCACATATAAATATTCACCATTCATTCCTTCCACATTCATGTCTTTGTGCATATATTGAGCTCCCACTCTGCCTGCTAGATAGACAATGAGAATATAGTCTTGATTCTCAGGGAGTGGCATTTGGTGAGGAATGGGGCATGAGGAGAACAGAAAACAGAAGGATAACTAAATATGTAATTTGTCAGGTAGTGGTAAGTCCTATGGAGAAAAATAAAACAGAGTGATCCTTTCTGATAAAATAACCTAACAGCAGAGTCTTGAATGATGGGAAAGAAGGGAGCTGTCAGGCAATAGCAAATGCAAAGGCACTAAGCTGAGTGTGTTTGGCATATTTAAGGAAAGCAGAGAGTGCCAAGGTGACTGGGTGAAGTCACCAAGGGAAATCTGAGAAAACATACATCCAGAGCGGGAACAGAGCCCAGAGCACATACAGGCTTGCAGGCCGTGGTAAGGACTTCGTATTTTATTCTAAGAGTCATTGATCTGAATTACATTTTCAAAGAATCACTGGGTGCTCTGTGGAGCACAGACTGTAGAAGGGCAAGCATGGAAACAGAGAGATGAATTAACATAGGTAGGTCAATAGATGAATGCTCAATAAACAGAACATATTTATATTGCATGTTGAAATATATATCTGCCAGTATTTTGGGCTCTAGGGATGTAACAATTTATCAGACTCTGTACTATAGGGAGGGAGATAGCCATTGATGAATTAGGGGTTTTGTTGATCATATTCATTTATCCTGGAGGTAAACTATTGAATAGTCTCCGGAAGATTGAAGAAAACAGACTCCCTGAATTTTAAGATTGAGGAGGCCTGAGGTACAGGCAACTCTGCATGAAGGCATCAGCTTTGAGCGTGGGACACCTGAGGTGTCAGCCTTGAGCGTGGGACACCTGTGTGACAGAAAGAATGTGTTGGCTCCTGTGGTGAAGTGGAGAGTAGCAGAGGACCTAATGGTCCAGAGTGAGAGCCAGATCGGCTTACACATTTTGATGGTCCCTGTGTTATAAAATGGATGGTGGGGAGTGGATGCTAAATCAGAAAGAGGAGATACTGCCTCAGGATGTAAAGTGCAGTCTGATCATCATCTGAAAGGTTGTTGAGCACCTCTTTGTGCATGGTGCACAATGAAACGCTTGCAAAAGGAGCTATGTGATTGCAGCCCCTGTCTTCTAGGAGCTTATGATCCACCAGACAAGCAAATGATAACAGGTGACCAGACACAACTGGTAGACCGCTAAGTCACCAGAGAGCAGAGCAAGGAAGGCCTCTGAGGCCCAGATGTGTGACAAAGTCTTCAGTAAAGATGTTCGTGGAGCCCCCTGAGCCACAGGGGAGGGGAGGGGCGGGGGGGATTGACAATGAGCTGGGTTGGTCTTTTTTTATTTATTTTTTAATTGACATATAGTTGATACACATATTGGTTTCAGGTATACAACACAATGGTTCACCAGTGAGCTGGGTGGGTCTTGAAGGGAGTTTCCCAGTGGGAGAAAGAAGGGGAAGAGGACGGAGCCCCTCCCGGGCCCAGCACACTCGGAGGTGGATCTCTGTGAACACTTCGGAACAGATGGGACATCAGAGTACGTGGGGTTTCACCCAGGCCATTTCATGTCCTGCTTGTGTGCGGACCTTCTTCAAAGTGTTCGGAAGCAATTTGTTACCGTAAGGTACTGATAGTAAGGGAACAAATGGGGAAGAAAATAGAAGAAACTGAGCAAAGGAACTTCCTTGAAATTACACAAGAATCAAATAGAGACAAAATATGAGCTAAAGTTTTCCATCCTTTCTACCTCTGCCTGACATGACACATTCCCTCTCCAATCCCGTAAACTCAGGCCAGCCCTGAGGTTTGGTGATGCAAGAATCAGATGGTTGCCTTCATTGTTTTAAACTCCTGAAATAATGAGGTTCAGTCCTGCAGCCTTCTTCTTACTGCCCCTTGCCTTGTTAATATGCTGTCACACAGTCCCCATGGGGAGTCATAACAAGGCCTCTTGCCACAGTCTTTCATAAAAGATGATGCTACATGCCACTAAAATGTGCCATTAAAAAAAGTCACAGACAGGTACATTTATGCCTTAAGCAAGGTATCTTTAATATCCAACTATCTCTTATCCAGGGACAGAACTGCCCCCCTCTCCTCTCAGTTCAGCATCCCTGTGTTTGTAGGATAAAAGGGGCCCCTTCCAGGATTCTGTCAGCTGCCTGTTGTATTTGTAGTTGGCAGAAGTAACATAAAGGTGGAAATTACCCTTACAAAGAGAAAAAATGAGATTACGCAGCCTGACAAGAGCACAGCAGTTTTACTAGAAAAGAAGAATTTGGTCCCTTTCTTATGTTTTTGTTTATGGTTTCCAACTCAGGTCTTTGAAAGTGTTGTAGTTCTGCTCATGTGGATTATTTATGGATCCACATAAAGGTTCTCTCCATACATGGGGTTTGCGTGGGCTCGCTGTGTAATGGGAAAAAACCCATGTAAAATTGCATTTCTTCCAAACATCCATGACAGGAATCAGCATGGAAATGCAGAAACAAGAGAAAGGGAAAAAAAAGTAAGACCCACTAATGTGGCTACAAAATCCCTTAATTGGGACAAACTGGGAGGATTAATCCTGTTGCCAGAATATTTGTTCGACTCTTCTAGAAAACTGCAATGACTCAGGTCATTTGGGTGCATTGTAGGACTGCTCACCCTGGGAGTTGCCATTGAAGACTTCAGGGTATAACTTTAAAATGAAAATGAGTTTGGTACGCAATAAAGGCTTTATTTTACCAAATTTGATTATTTTATTTACTCCTTAGAGGTAGGGAGTACCTAACACATTTTAGGGCACAATTTCTTCATTTCACAGGCAGCTCTTTTCCCAGAGAAGGGCTTGAGGAGAGAGTCCCACTGTTGTTTTTCACTAACTCGTTTCCCCATTTATGTTCTTGTGTCATTTGAGTCACAGCAGGCTTGCAGAAGCCAGGTATTAAGAAGGCCCTTCTTGAGTCAAAAAACAATCACACCCTCCCCTGGGCTTGCCATTTGCAGTACCCAGGACGATGAAGGCACCGGGCCAGTCCCGTAATGTTCTTAGTCTCACTCAGTATACTCTACAAGTATCTCTTCTGGCTTATTTTATCTGGCGGGTTATTACAAACCTTATCATGGTTGGTGGTGACTAATCTTCTGACAGGATCTTCTGCAGGCACCAGCTGAAAGCCCCATCTTTAGCATGTGCGTCTTGCTCTATTCACTTGAGTCCTCGTGCTTTCTGCCTTTGTTTGCATCCTCTGTCTGTCAGTCTCCAGAGTCCACGACATAGAACAATCTGGCTCAAAATGCTTGGTTAATTGGAGTGTCATCTAGTCCTCTGAGACCCCTCTTCAACATGATCACTGTTTTATTGAAGTGGTTTGAATGATGTGTTAAATGATGAAAGCAAGGTCCATGGCTTAGAAAAATGTCTCTGGATAGGTAAAGAACATATTCAGAAAGCCACACAAGGTCATTCTCATCAAACTAACACCGTCTTTTGAAGATTTTTATGGGTTCTG